TCTCCAACCTACCAGCGATGGCCTCCAACCTAGAAGCGATGGTCTCCGACCTACTAGCGATGGCCTCCAACCTAGAAGCAATGGCCTCCAACCTACGAGCGATGGCCCTCGACCTAATAGCAATGGCCTCCAACCAAATAGTGATGGCCTCCAACCTACGAGCGATGGCTTCCAACCTAGAAGCGATGGCCTCCAACCTAGAAGCGATGGCTTCCAACCTAGAAGCGATGGCCTCCAACCTAGAAGCGATGGCTTCCAACCTAGAAGCGATGGCCTCCATACTACTAGCGATGGCCTCCAACCTAGAAGCGATGGTCTCCAATCTACTAGCAATTCATTGAAGCAAAGGAGGGAACAAATAACCCTCACTTTGTCCCAGGGCCATCACTTGATGTCTTCCTGGAGAGCTGAAGTGGCGGCACGTTTGGAGGTCTATCTCGGCGGGGAATCGACATGTTGAGTGAATATATTCCTTGTCTCGACGAACCGAACCTTTCAAGCAAATTCATGGGTAGATGCACTCAGAATTGGCTGGCTTGCTTTTTGTTGGCATGTTGTGGCAGTCTGAACGTAGGCTTCCGAGGGTGGGCGGAGGCTCTTTGGATCAGTGAAGAGCTCAGCTGTGCAGATGAAGGGCTTCGAAACTCCGGAACATGCGTGAACAAAATGCGCCGAACACGTACTTCTGTATACCTTATACAAACATCATGGAATCTTGACAGTAGTGCAGCTGCATTCGAAGGAATCAGGACCAACACGAGATTCATTTACAGACTGTTCTAGAACGCCTGCACGGAGTCCTGAGACATGTGCAGACCGTAGCCCATTGAGCTGCGTAGCTGCGATTTCGAGCTCGCACACGCCCCTGCAAAACCGAGGAACGCATGTTCGGAAGGCCTGGCTTGAAGGGTTTTAGCAGTTTGAGCTGGACATGTCATGTCCATTCTTTACTTCCGGGCTTGTTCGGCTGGCCAAGGGGCGCGCAATGCAACACCTTGCAAGGAGGAAAATTAGGCACTGAAGCAAACATATACTCTAAATCCCAAGACCCAAGAGTCCAATACCCGTTCTGGGGTCCCATTGGTTCGAGACTGTCGTGCTTCGCTGCCCCCTTCATAGCTGCCTGAGCGATGTCCGTCGCGGAAAGTTGTGGGTAACGCCTTCGCAGGCCACGCCACGGCGCGCAACGTTCGCAACGGCCGACGGACGACGGACGACGCTTTTCTTGCGAGTGATCCTTCCACAGGTTCACTACGGAAACCTTGTCACGACTTCTCCTTTCTCCAAGTGATAAGGTTCATGAAGCGTTCCCGCGTTAGTCCAAGTTATTCGCTGCATCTCTCAATCGGTTGGAACCTTTTCCTTTTTTTAGATCAATAATTGCAAATGGTCTATCTCCATCATGATGCATGTGAAAAGGTTGCCCAGCAATTTGGGGCAATTGTGGCGCATCAGAGCAGCGTGCGTGCAACCCAAGACACCTATACGGGCGCATGTAACCGAAGAAGTTGCATGTAGCTGCTGTACTGTAGCTAGGTCGCGGCAGGGAAGTAACCAGACGACCACGCGCCACCACCCATCGAATCAGACGACCAGAGCTATCAATCAGTCAATCCTTTCTGTTGAGTCAAACTAAGCAGCTGGCTGCACTCCTGTTGGCGCACACCTGGCTGTCTTCCATACTCCCCGTGGAAGCGAAAGACCGAAAGACTATGATTTCTCATTCTCGGTGTTGAGAGAGTCATGAATTATGACCTGCAATCTTTCGTTGGCATGCTTTATGGTTACGACGGGAAGGACGGCGCGTGATTGCTTTGGACCACTAACTTTGTCAGCAAATGCTTTCGCAGTAGTCAGTCTTTAACAAATCCAGGAATTTTGCCTGTGACAGTCTGATTTTATTCTCTAGACTTAGATCCGATTGGCTTTCACCATTTGTGATGTATGCAAGGGAGCTTTCGGAGTCAGGCAAGCAACAGATCACTTTGAGTGATCCAACATTCGCAGCACGTTCTCCAGTTGATAGGTGAACGTTCCACGTTTGCTCAATTCGATGTGTTTCCAACGGAAGCAAGCAGGCACATGTGGGGCTAAATCTTTTCGGATCTGTCAATGTTTTGCCCTGTTGCCCCACTATCTCCATGTTATAGCTGTTGGTGTTTGCTTGGAACCTGGAGTATCCGGACCCGACACCACAAAGCTGCAGACCTGCAGGTTCTGCCCAGAAGCCACAAGTTCTGAGAGGAGAGAATTGAGTGAAGCAAAGGTGGCTAGGTTTTGGAAGTTACAAAAGCGGGGGGAAAAACACTGAAGTTTTCCCCTGCTCCTTTTACATCACATATCGTTTAGGTTTGAGGTGGTGCTCTGGCGACGTCTTCCGTCCATGCCACGGCGCAACGACCGACGTTGGGCGACCGCGCAACGACCGAGCCGGAGGATTCTCTGGCACTTCCTGGATCGCGACAATGATGGCTTCATCACAGTGCAGGAGCGGTTCATGCGGTTCAGTTCATCGCATGCTTTCGTCACACAATGGCCTCCTTTGCTTCCTTTTGCTTCGTGTTCCTAGTAGTAAGGCCAAGAGCGCCCCGTTCATAGCGTCCTTGCTCCGTTCGTAGCGATGCCCTTTGTTACCTGTAGCTTCTTGTTCCTAGGTCCTAGGTTCAATGCTGCAAGTGTGAAGATCTTCCAAAACAGGCGTTGATCATTTGAAGGACATTTCACTGCTCAAACTAGTCTGAAGAAGCACATGGCGCCATTTCTGGGTAAATCCGAAGACTAAGACATCACAACTGACTTGGCCGAGTTGGAATGGGAGGACTTGAAATCAGTGATCCAAGACGTCCAGCGCACGCACAACAACTCCGTTTGGGCCTCAAAAACTAGCACTCAGCATGAGAATAAGCACCAACCTAGCAATATACAGAATAAACCAACCTAGAAGCAATGACCTCCATTTTCACCTATGGATGACTGCGGTCAGGATCCATGCGACATGCGATGCTTTCTTGATAAGGTTTCCAATCGAAAACTTGAGATGCTTGCAGATCACTATTTTTTGCACCTGCCTTTAACCTTGTTTGCACATGGGGTTTTCAGCTTTCAGCCACATATATCCACATATTGCAGGCTAGCATGCATGCGGTGCTTTCATGCCGACCAACTGGTTGCAGGTGATGATGCTTGTGCGATTATAGTTGGTGATGGTGGGTGCATCGCTATGTATCGTTGTAGCGGTGGCCTCCAACCTAAGAGCGATGGCCTCCACCCTAGTAGCGATGGCTGGATATGTGTTGGATGCCATTTGGCCGTCCTTGACGGGCCACGCGGGCCACGCCGGAGATCTTTCAGAAGGCTCAAGTCACCCGTCGATCCTCTCCGCAGAGTCTACCGAAGATGGCCGTGGCAACTGTTCCACCAGCTGAGCCTCGGTCTCTTTTTGGATCGGGGAGGTCCGTGGGTTGGAACGGTTGGAGATGGTTGGATGGTGTGAGGGTCACATGGGACGAGGTGTTTTCGTGGAAGTGAGGTCCTTGTTGGTTCAAGGGGTTTGGTGGTTGGATGGGAGGATTTGTTCGAGACGGTGTAGACGATGCGTAGGCTGGTGTGTGCGAGCCTCTACAGTGTATAAGTTCCATGCACCCCAAAAAGACACCAAGTCCATGTGATCTCATATGGATATTATTATTGTGGCCTTTGATTCCATGTTGAAGAAACAAGTTTCGTGCAGACAAGTGTCCTATCAAAGCAAAGCAAATTTCAGGAATTTGGGACAGCGTATTCTGCATGAGGAGTCGTATTGCCCCGCTAGCAGCTTTGGAAGTCACTGAACTAGAATTGCTTCTTCACAAGCTTTTGAATGGGTGAAGGTGGGTGGAGCTGTACAGAGGTCACTTTGCAGATGAGAAACGTCGGGATGGCACTTATGGCATGACCTGCTCAGGAGTATGATTACCTCTTCCGCATGCTGCTCATCGGTGACTCAGGCGCGCGGGGGGGGGGTTCAGTGGACTCCTTCCCACCGGAGCGGCTCGCCTCACCAGAGGCTCCACTGGAGCCATGAAAGCTTCGTGTTCCGTGTCTGTCGTGTCGCAGGCGTCGGGAAGTCCTGCTTGCTGCTGCGCTTTGCGGACGACAGCTACAACGAGACCTTTGTGTCCACCATCGGCGTGGACTTCCGGATTCGCACCATGATCCTCGAGCCTCGGAAGCGACGAGCGGGGCTCCTGGCATCGCTACGAACGGAGCAAGGACGCTACGAACGGGGCTCCTGGCCATACTACTAGGAACACGAAGCACTAGGACGCTACTAGGAGTCAGAAAGAGGTTGAGAGGGTCACCGGTCACAATCGACCGTCCTCACTGTGGAGAACGCTTTCCCGTTCGTAGCGAACCTTGCTCCGTTCGTAGTACGGCCAGGAGCCCCGAACTCGTAGCGTCCTTGCTCCGTTCGTATGTTTGAAGAGATCTTTACAGCTTTTTCGTCATTTTTAGGGCTCGCTCTCTTTCAGATTCCTGGACATCGGCAGCCGTTTTCCAAAGTTGGCCGCTCAGACTCAGGATGGGAAGAAAGCGAAGACTCAGATCTGGGACACTGCTGGGCAGGAGCGCTTCAGGCCGGGAAGGATTCGACGTGATCCCAGGTCGTTCGAAAACCGTCATCCGTTGCACGAAAACCTGACCTGGATGGATGACACCGCTTTTGGCCTGGCAGAGGCCACCAGGTGCTGCTGGATGCTGTGACTTTTGTTTTTTTATTCCCTGGCCCTCAGATGTGAAGGAACTGAGTCCACAGATGTCCACACCAAGCTCGTCCTTTTCTGATTGTGATCACCAGGAAAAAGTGATAGATCCAATGGAACCACTACCAAGCTCGTCCAAGCCCCAAGCATACGGTTCTCCAAGCTCCCACTACTCGTCTCCGCCCAGCGACCGCCGTGCCCAGCCAGGACCATTGCTGCCAGCTACTACCGTGGTGCTCACGGCATCATCATCGCCTTCGATGTCACGGACAGAGCACGTCCGACGGAGACGCGGAGACGGCGGAGAGTCGCGGAGAGTCGCGGTCGTTTCAGTGGCGGCTCCGCGGGCGCCAGGACCGGGAATCCTTCAAGAACGTGCGGCAATGGATGCAGGCAGAAAGGGTCCGAAGGGAAGGGAAGGGAAGGAAGGGATTTTTCTATTTTTGTCGTTCGAAGATTTGGATGGATCAGATGAAAGAACTGCACAGATTCCGCGAATCAAGAGGTCATCAGATTGATGGTGTTCGGCTCAGGAGATTGACAAGTATGCACCTGCAGTGGTCAACAAGATGCTCGTGGGCACCAAAATCGACCTCGTTTCAAAACGAGTTGCCGTTTGGCCAAACATCATCGTCGAATTCGTCGCGTTCGTCCATGTTTCTCCCAGTTTGGCAGCTGTTTTTTTATGCGAATGGAAGTGCAGTGACACGTACAGTGCAACTTGTATATATATATATATGTACCATATGTACTTTGGCTCAAGGATCAAGCGACTAGAAAAGGTGCGGTTTCCGTTCCGACGCTACGCCGCTTATGGACCGTCAGTGATAGCTTCAAACTTCGCTGATTAAGATCCACTCGCAGGTTATCAGCCGTACGCGCTCTTTATAGCCGTACGAGCTACACGAGACCAAGAACAAGACTAGTCATTACAGAAACCTGCAATGTCAAGCTCGGGAGGAAATGGAAGCGAACCCTATTCATTCGCTGCTCCTGGTGGTCCCAACACCATTTCGTCACCAGACTCTACAATGGGTACTGATTCATCAGCAAATGCTGACGTTATCACTATGCCTACTGGATCACAAATCTCGGAAAGATCCGTGCCACCGGCTCGGAATCTGACCGATCTTGCACCCGTAGGACCAAGAAAATCGATGAGAGCTACAACAAGATCTACATCGCCTATAACGTCTACCGCGAGATCCCCAAGAAGGAGTATAGAGAAGAGACGTGACGATGATAGAGGAACAAAAGAGCAAAGAAGAGAGATTCAGCTGGGTGAGGAATTGAGATCGGCGAGAAACGCATACAATTTTCTTCATGAAGAATATGAATGCATCCAAGCCGGATACTCACGACTACACCACGAGGCTGAAGTGGAGTTCAGGCAAATGTCTGACTACAACAGGAAGATGCAGGAACATCTACAAAAGATGACACAGGAAGATGAAGGAGCGACAGTAAGAATTGAAGAGCTCGAACACAAGCTACGCTTGGCGGAATCGACAGCTGAACATATCTACATGAGATATCAAGAGCTTGCGCAAGAAACTCATCAAGAACATTCAGAGCTTGAATCTGTAAAAGCAACGAAGGACAAAATGTCCCAAGAGCTTCAAGCAGCAATTGGACACATCCAAGAACAGAATGAATCTTCATTGGCGATCAATAGAAGATCAAAAGCCATTCAGGATGAGAACACAGCCTTCGTCGGAATAGCTGACCAGATACAAGCTAGAATGATTGCGCTACAGGATGAGAATGTCAACATGCACGAGGTGATCCAACGCCAGAGAGAAGAACAATGGAACAGTGAGGTCAGGGAAAGACGTCTTCAACACAGTGTTCACTCATCTCAAGATCAGAGCAATCAGGAAGCTATGGTTATTGATCATCTACGAGGTCAACTAGCTATGGCACGTGGAGCTGAACTCAACGCGAGAGCGGAGATAGAAGAGATGGAAGTGGGCATGAGGATGGAGATATTTGTATGCCAGACTGAGGTCTCTGCTAGAGAAGTGGCAGAAATGAAGGCGAGACACCATGAATACGAAGCAAATGTCGCAAAGGAGGTTATCGCAAAAGGAGAAATATTCAACAACGAAGTCCTAGAAGGTTCCATCCGTGAACGACAACAGTTGAAAGAAGTCAACCTCGCTCTATCCGAAGCCAACGCACAGCTGAAAAGAGAGAATATGATGAGAGCTCCTATGTTCGGCGATGATGGTGCGGAAATTCAACAGAAGATCAGAGAACTAGAGAATGCACTATTGGAAAGCCAGAAGGAGACAAAGAATGTCATTATGGAAAATGCGAAATTAAAAGCAGAAGCACGAATGGCACCCATAGTCTCTCGATACAGCAAGCGTCCTAGTTCCAGAGACCGCGGGTTACCAACCCACGCGTCCGAGGAAGATGAGATTCGGAACGCAAAAGAGGAGGCGAAGTACTACAAGGACGGGTACAATGAAATGGCAGAGAGCCGAGATGAGATGTATGGACGGTATGCCGAAACCCACAATGAGTACGCCGAGGAAAGGGAGAAATCAATTGAGCTATCCGAGGCGAACAAATCATTGAGGGACAAGATTTCAGAAACAGAAGCATCCTCATCATCTCATCTTGCACCGGCAACCTCTACAATCATGAAAGTATCGAGGAAGGAAGAATCAAAGATAAACGTTCCGTCATGGCCCAGGATCAATGATCTTGGACTATGGAAGGCAAATCTCATTCAATCGATCATCATTGCGGCCAATGATTCAGATCAAGAGCCCTGGATCGACTGGATCAAAGAAGCCATGGACGATCCTGACCCGGACAAGTTTGTCGACTCAGGAGACCAAAGATTCCATTCAATCGATGCCAACCTCGGCCTAGCTCTTACCAAGGTCGTCATGGATGCGAAAGATGATGGTTCGGGTGTAGCTATGAAGTTGAGGACGAGGATCAATGCAAAAGGGAGAACATCAAGCCTCATAAAGGGAAGAGAGGTCCTAGCCCTGATCCTTATGAATTTCAAGACAACATCAAATGTGGAAGTCTTATATACTTCAATGCACCTCTACCAATTAGAATATCAAGGAGACAAGAACTTATCGTTGTTCTTCCACACTTGGGATGAGATTCTGGCAGGAATGAAGCCCGTTGACGTCCCGAGCGACGAAACTCTTCGGGATCTCCTATGGAGAAAGATCAGGAACTCAAACCTCATGGCATACGACATCAGCGCCTACAATAGCATGAACGACGATGATGCCAAGAAGACATACAAACATCTACGTGATATGATCAGAAGGCACATCGAACGGCAAACTGAAGACAGGATGATCCTGGAAAAGGAGAAGGCAGTGAAGAATGTGGCCAATATCTTTCAGAATCTCAAACCAGGCGGACCTGCTCCAAAACTGAAAGCTGCACCAGCTGATCCGAAGAAGAAACCAAAAGGGCAACAAGAACAGGTTGTCTCAGAAGACGCTGCTGCAGTGAAGCCGAAACCCAATCCCAAGAAGCACCCTGAAGACAAGAACAAAAAGGGAAAGGGGAAAGGTAAAGGTGATGGAAAGGATCGCAGCCGAAGTCCGAGTGCAGACAAGAAGAAGATACCGTGCAAATTCTTCGTGAAAGGTAACTGCACTATGGGGAAAGATTGCCCATTCAGTCACAAGAAACCCAGATCACCATCCAGAGGATCTTCTGTCGGAAAGAATGACAAGCCAGTATGTTGGATGTGGATTCGAGGAACTTGTGACAAAGGGAAGGATTGCAAGTTCTACCATGACCCAAAAGCCTCTCCTAAGAAAGGGATATCTGCACCAGCTGACTCAGGAGACGATAGGCCAAAGCCCAAGGCAAAACCCAAACCGAAGCCCAAGGCGAAGCCTGGAGCCCCAGCCATTGACGGTGAACTTCTCATGGACGAATCCGAAGATGAAGGGATTGCTGCATCCGCCAAGGCAAGAGAAGGAGGTGCAAAAGTATCCTTTGATGAAGAGACTTGTGAGATCATGTTGAACGAAGCGATCTACTCAGTCAGGGACAAATGGAAGGTAGTAGAAAAGAAACCTCTACGTCCGGACATCAAACGATACGATGAGAAAGAGCTCACCTGCTACACGAGGAAAGAACAAATCAGATTTGAAGAAAAGGTCGCAGAGGCGAGAGGCATATTGATGGTCCCCTACACTGAGATCAAGAGGGTCCGAATACCAGTTGGACCAAAGGGTGACCTGTCGGTCACTATGTCTTTTGACGAAGATGACGGCCTAGTTTTCCATCATAAAGTCATTCCTCATGTATGCGAGGGAAAGAAAGATCATGCAGACACAAAGACATTGTCTATTCCAGCCAAAGGGTCAAGAACGAAGTTCATCATGGACACAGGATGTGGATATGATTTGATATCGAAAGGCAGAGCCAAGAAATTAGGTCTGGAAGTGAGAGAAAGCGACCAATCAATGTCATTCTATACTGCAAATGGAGTGACATCCACAAAGGGAGTCGCCGACATTCATTTCGACGAATTTGACTCTACCTACTCCCCATTCGTCCTAGATGAGTCTCCTTCAGTACTGTCTGTTGGAAAGAAATGCATGGAGGAAGGATACACATTCATATGGCCAGCCTGCGGCAACCCGTACATGGTTTCCCCGAACTACAAGAAAATTATGTTAGAAGTAGAGGGAAACATCCCATATATTGTCAAGGGCAGTGACTTCTGTACTCCCACCGACGATACAAGGGCGGAGATGATCGCAAGGTTCACCCTAGGAGAAGATGAAGCTGATTACCAATCGACTTTCATCAACTGTGATGTGGATCCTCAAGGAATCATGTGTGATAATGACGACCTTCCTGTGATTGAACCTCCAAAAGTCAAAAGGCGAAAGAGGAATAAGAAGTTCAAAGCATCTCCTGGAGAGGAAGATGAGGTAGGATCAGATGTCGCCGGAGACAGTGAACCAGAAGCTGACGATGATGATGCAGATGACATCGAGGTGGATGTTGTTGACGGTGCAAGTAGAATGGTGAGAAGAGGAACTCTGAAAGCAGATGCCAGGAAAATTGAGCATCTACTCACACATCGTTACAAGAATCCCTACTGTGAGTCATGCATCAGAGCAAAGATGAAACACTTCAAGACGCATCGAGGAGCGTTCAAGAGGAAGCTCAAAGCTTTTGGAGATCTGGTTACCTTTGATTTTGTCGATACGAGGAACATCTTTGATCAAGGGATCAGTACTGATCGAGAGATCTTCGTCATTCGTGACAGGTACACAGGCGTCATATGGGCCTATCCGTCGAAAGAGAGGTTTACCAAGGACGTGGTCAATGCAATAAACCACTTCAAAGGATTGAAGAAGATCAAGATTGCTTATGCCGACAAAGCCCCAGAGTTTGAGACGGCTATGAAGCAGCTGAAGATCCCATTCGATCACTCTCTACCGAATCATCCTCAGAACAATTCTCTGGCGGAGAGGAACAATCAGTTCATTATGATGACAACCGCAACTTGTCTCTTGGAAGCGGGGTTACCACCATGTTTCTGGAGCTATGCAGTAGAATGTGTCAGCCATCTTTTGAACATTGAGGAAGGAGAGGATGGAGT